AAAAAAAAAAAAAAAATCCCAGCAGTTGGGAGGCTGAGGCAGGAGGATCACTGTGAGTTCGAGGCCTGCCTGGGTTACAAAGTGAGCTCAAGGCCAGCCTGAACTGCATAGTGAGACCCTGTCTCAAAAAGACAAAAAAGAAAAATCTAATTGAAGACCTAAAACTTGAGTTTGACCTCTCCTATGACAAATCATACCTTGGTAAGCTTACATCTTGTTAGCAAAACAAGAAAATGAATGTTTATATTGAGACTATAAATCAGAATTACGTATCTTACAAGTGCCACCTGTAGTTCTAAAGTTCATACACAGCTAAGGGACCAAGATTAAGAGACACCAACAAAAAAAGCCCCTCTCTCTCAGATACAGAGCTTCTAGCAGTAGATTAACTCTTTAGAAGCAGACAGCATCACTAAGATCTCACAGGTCAACCATGACAGCAGGGATGGACAACTTCCTTTAGTACCTTCAGATCAAGATCAATTCAGATCACGACCATTGAGACAATAGGCTTTTTGCTTGTTTCTCACCTACTTCTCCCCAGCCCTGCAGTCCTGCACCGGGGCTTGAACCCAGGACCTCTGTACTGAACTACATCCCTAGCCCTCTTCATTTTGAGAAAGGTTTTGTTACGTTGCCCAGGCCAGACTTAAACTTTCCATTCTCCTGCCTCAGCCTCCCAAATGCTGGGATTACAGGTGTGTACCACAAGCCTGACTGCCTCTTTATACTTGCATGGCTATCTTGGGAGGCAAAGTCCCTGCCGAACTTTATAGATGAGAAGATTGAAGATTACCCAATCTCACCCAGCTAACGGATGCCACAGTGAGATGTGCACATGGTCCACATGCACTAAGTAATACGGTCACTTCGTTCTCTGGAGACTTCAAAACTCATTCAGGGGCTGAGGACATAGCTCAGCAGCACAAGCGCCTGCGTGGCAAGTGCAAGGTCCTGAGTTCAATGCCCAGTACCAAAAAACAAAAAAAACAACAAACTTCCTTCAGATCACAACAGCTCTGTGACATGAGCTAATTAATAAGTTTGACTCCAAGATTCTGCTGTAAAAGGGGAGCAGGAGGCCTCTCTTCTCTAAAAGGCCTCCCGGGAGGAAGACACAAGCACCTTCAAGCTGACAGAGGTTCTCCACTCATCCCACTGCAGCCCCGCTTCCAACTCCTTCTCTTACTTTTTAAGGAATTTTGAGGCGAGCACAGTTTGTTTTCCTTCGTCCTCCTCTGACTCTGACCCGGAAGATGTGGAGCCCGTGTCCCACTCCTCGTCATCTTCGGAATCTTCTGAGTCCTCATCTTCCTCCTATGAAGAAAAAGTCAGCAGAAAGGAGACAGGGAGACCGGTCTGTTTCCCAAGGGCAGCTGTTGCTCACGGACTCAGGGTTAAGAGCTGGGATGCACCCAGAGGAGTTACGACTCCACAAGGGACACATCTCCCCAGGAACGGACTAGGTCCAGCATTTAAATCCAGCTCACTCAGTGCTCCATCCAGAGGAAGTCTGTTCTCCAATCAGACTCCACTAAATCCCATCCCTCAGTCACAGGGTTCTGAGTCTTTCTTCCTTCTCAAGAAACCATACAATCTCCTGCACCCAAATCACCCCCAAGGCTAACTCCGGCTCTAACCTCCATCTTTTTGAGGAACTTGCGACTCTCCCCAGAAGGAGCTTCTGATTTCTTCTTCAAGAAAGCGGCAGCACTGACTCCATCATCATCTTCCTCCTCATTTGAAGAGCCTGGCAAGAAAGGAGGGGAGAAAAAGTGAGAACACTAAAGAGCAACACTGAAGAGCAACCAAGAATCCAGGCCAGCGAAAGCCCAGCTCTGGATCCCTCGCTCTTCCCACGCAGGGCGCCCTCCCTCACCCTCTGAGTCCTCTTCGTTCTTCTCTGCATCTTCATCAGCAGACTGCTCCGGGTTCTGGACAGGGAAATATGAGAATAACTAAGGACAGTCTGGCCATAATTCCACTTTCAGTCACACTCGCATTTGCTAATCTCTTCTTGGTCACAGGGTCACTGTTCCCACAGTTCAGTAAATCTGCCCCCGATATCCCTACCTGCTTGTAGTTTGTGATATGGGACTCAAAATCTCGGTTGTATTTTCGGATCTTCTGGCGCAAGGTACTCAGAGCCTTGGCATTGTTCTTGTTCATCTTCTTCTTACCTTCCTTGTCTTCCCAAAGCTAAAGGAAAGAGGCAAGAAAGGGAAAAATGAGCTAAGGAAGACTGCGGAGTGTTTCCTAAGCTTCAGGCTTCACTACGACTTTCTAGGGTCTTGCTGTTTAGCATTTGCATTTTTTTTTTTTTTTTTTTTTTTTTTCTCCAGTACCGGGAACTGAACTCACGGCCTTGCGCTTGCCAGGCAGGTGCTTTTGCCGCTGAGCTAAATCCCCAGCCCCAGCATCTGCATTTATTAATTACATCCATTCACGTTTTTTGGTGGGGCTGAGACAGACAGGGCTCACACACAGTAGGCAGGCACTGCACCAGAGTTATATGCCCAGTTCATTGACAACGTTTTGAAGATCCTTTACGTATCACCACTAAAAGCACAAAAGCACAAGCCAGGCACACATCTACCATCCCAGCACTTCACGAGGATCACTGTAGGTTTGAAGTCAGCTTGAACTACAAAGTGAGACCCTGTCTCAAAATACCCAAATAAACAAATATAAAATCATTAAGAATTGGTAATAAGCACAGACTTAAGTTCTTAGCCAAAAAAAGAAAGCTTCTACCTTAGCTCTATCTCATTTCCTATGTTCTAGAAAACACTGTATTTGAAAAGACAAAGAGGGCCGGGGATATAGCTCAGCGGCATAAGCGCTTGCCTGGCAAGCCTGAGGTCATGAGTTTAATTCCTGATACCAAAAAAAAAAAAAAGAAAAGAAGACAAAGAACCCAGAGCCATGACCCCTGGCAGTGGGTTAGGATGATGGCCAGTCCCACACCTTTTTCTAGATCCCCCTCACCCCCAAGTATCACACCTCATTCAGATAGTCCTCCAGGTCGGCCAGAATGCGGATATAGAACCGGGGAACACCTTCCTTGTCCACGATACTCTTGGCCTTCCCATATGCTTTGCCCAGGAGCTCAAACTCTTCCAGACACTTGGTGACATCCCGAATCTTCATGGCATTACGAATAGTCCGGATGAGGTTGGTCAGCTCCTCAAACCTAGAGGGGCGAGCAACAACACACAGATCACATCCACTGTGGAAAAAAGTCACCACTGCTCCCAGGCTGCCGGTCTCCGCAGGGCCTTACCTCTTGTCCTTCGCACTCCGGACAACTCTCTTGGTGTCTTCTTCATCCTCACTCAGTAACAGCGGCCTGTGTGGAAGGACCAGAGACCGTTACTCTTCACTCCTAGGGCCACTCTCTCTTCTCAGACACAGCAGACAGAACTGACGCCTCAGGTCATCCACACCAGCCATACCCAGCTCCTTCTGAGTTGCTTTCCACAGCCTCGTCTTACATAACTCTTTTTTTTTTTCCTTTTCTTTTTGAGACAGGGTCTCGCTTTGCAGTTCAGGCTGGCCTTGAGTTCACTCTGAAGCCCAGGCTGGTCTCGAATGCACAATGATCCTCCTGCCTCAGCCTCCCGAGTGCTGGGATTACAGGTGTGTGCCACCATGCCCAACTTACAATCCTATTTTTAAGTCTACTGTACGTGAGGCCTTTTGTCAAATTGTAGCACACACAAAAACAACAGCATCCGGGGCTGGAGATGCCTGGCAAGCGCAAGGTCATGAGTTCGGTTCCCGGTACCGGAAGAAAACCAAAAAAACCAAACAAATAATCAAAAATAAACAAATGACAGTACTTATTCTATGAGACAACTAATTACAGACAGGCACAAGCCACCATTAAGCACCAAAAGAAAAGTAGAGAAAAAGGGCACTCCAGTTATAACGAATGGAAGGTGGGGAATATAGCCCAACAGCACAAGGACCTGCCTGGCAAGTGCAAGGTCCTGAGTTCGATCCCCGGTACCAAAAAAAAAAAAAAAAGCAAAGAAAAGTAGGCAACACTGCAGAGTGTCGATGTCTTTAACACTTCCACTGCCAGTATTTCTAATGACCTCAAGACAGACTCAGCATTCAGCGAGCAACAGCGCCTCAATTCTTTTCTGCCCATTTCATTAACTTTCCCAATCAGTTTCTACTTTATGGCAAGTGGTGTTGTTCACTTGTGACAGTAATACGAAATCATGTTCAGGGTGGTGTACATATACATCAGGGTGCAGATACACAGATTTTCAAACAGCAGAACAGGGGTACGGCAGGAATAATGGAAGTACTGCATCCCTGGCACACGCCTGTAACCCCAGCTCTCGGTAGGCTGAGGCAGGAGGATCCTTGCGAGTTCGAGGCCAGCCTGGGCTACAAAGTGAGCTCAAGGCCAGCCTGAATTCATAATAAGACCCTGTCTCAAAAAGACAAGAGTGGGGGAAGAATAATGGAAAGGACATGCAAATAACAAGTTTGAAAAGTAACACGGCATTGCTTCAAAAGGGTATTTGCAGAGACGGGGGGAGGCCGTGTTGGTGGAGATAAACAAGAAGAATACAGTATTTCAGAAGCTGCCTGCAGAGGCAGGTGGTTAGACCTCAAAGGCGCATGCGCACACGCTGGGCACACGGACCGCGCACTCAGGGTTTCCCTGCAGGGGCAATGTGAGGTCCGTGAGATCTCCGGGTGGGAAGGCGGGCCGGGGCTCCGGCCTTCGGTTACGGCTGGCCGAGCCAGGGAGGGAGGGAGAGAAAGGACGCGGGGCGGCGGCGACGCTCAGACCCGAGAAGGCGGGCGGCGGGCGGGCGCAGCGCCGCGTCCAGGGACACCAAGGCGCCGGGACAGCTCGCGCCCGCCCCGGGCCGGACCCCACGGCGCAGCCCTCCGACTCACGGCTTGCCGTAGTTACCCCCGACGGGTTTGGTGACGAGCTCCTCCCCGGACAGCGACGACTCGGACTCGCTGTCCGAGCCGGTGGTGAAAAACCGTGACATGGCGGCGCTCAGACGCTGCGACCTGAGGACAGCAGAAGCGGCAGCGGTCACGAGAAGTGGCCGGGCCAGCACCTGCCCACCCCTGCCCCTCACGGTTCCGCCCGGGTCTCTCACCTCGAAGCGCGAGGCCTGCGATACACCAAGCAGCTGAGCTCGCAGGCACGCCGCGAAGCCAAAATAGGGAAAACGCCGGAAGAGGAAGAGACAGGCCTTACGTCACTTCCGGAAGAGAATGGTCGAGCTACGTCACTTCCGGTAAGCGCTGACGCAATACGCGGGATGACTACAACTCCCAGGGGGCCTCGCGCCGCACAGGAGGCGGGGATAAATTTAAGGTTAGTTGTAGGGCTTTGAAAAGCTGTTTTCTAAAACGGCATCTTCTTGGTGGCAGGATTTAAAACACAAAATACTTTAGCTTCATCCATGAACTGCAGAATGAGAATATGAAGGCAGCGCCCACGTGATGCTGATGGACTGCTGGATGTTTGGAGCTAGGCTAAGAGCAAACTTGCAGTTAGAACTTTAGCTTTGGAAGCCGGGAGTGGTGGTGCACACCTGTAATCCCAGAACTGGGAAGGCTGAGGCAGGAGGATTGTTGCGAGTTCGAGACCAGCGTGGGCTACAAAGTGAGCTCAAGTCCATCCTGAACTGCATAGGGAGACCCTGTCTCAAAAAGGCCAAAAAGAACAAAAAACAAACAAACAAACAAACAAACAAAAAAACCTTTAGCCTTGGAATCCTCGCTCCACCATTTTTTAGGCAAATTAATCGCCTTAGGCCAAACTACAAAAACTACAAATTAATTTCCCTAAACTACAAAAAAGAAAGCAAAGCAATAATGGCATCTGTTTCATAGGGAGTTATGAAAAATAACAAATAAAAAAATATATGAAGGATTTGGGCAATGCTTTGTGCAAAATTAGCACAGAATATTTGCTAGCATTCATTCATCATTCCACAAATATTTATTTACTCAATATTTATTGTGAATGAACAATGTCCGTGCCAGGCGTGGTGGCGCATGCCTGTAATCCCAGCACTCAGGAGGCTGAGGCAGGAGGCTGAGGCAGGAGGATCGTTGCTAGTTTGAGACTCAGCCTGGGTTACAAAGGGAGCTCAAGGTCAGTCGAAAAGGCTTAGGGAGACCCTGTATCAAAAGGACAAAAGAAAAAAAAAAACAAAAACAAGTCCTGGGCATCAGATGTAGCAGTGAGCAAAACGATAAGGACTCCTGATTTTACAAGGAGTTCACATTCCAGTGGGGTGATATAATTAACAAGTAATCAAAGGATAATTCCGCATAGTAATACTGGTAAGCACAACAAAAGTAACTGGTTAGAGAAAGATTCTTTTGGGTAGAGAGGCCAAAACCTGCGATATCTGAGCCAGGCTCCAAATGACAAGAAGGAAGGAACCATGTAGAGTGTCGTCTAGAGAAAAGAGAATTCCCAACAAGTGCAAAGGCCCTGAGGCAAAATGAGCATTACCAGGTTCTAAGAATAAAGAAGGCCAGTGTGCCATCAGTAAAGTGAGCAAGGCATTAGAAACAGAAAAGGCAATACTACACCATGTGTCCTTTTGTCTTTTTTTTTTTTTTTTTTTTTTCCTTTTTGACATAGGGTCTCACCATGCAGTTCAGGATGGCCTTTAGTTCAACTTTGTAGCCCAGACTGGCCTCGAACTCGCAACGATCCTCCTGCCTCAGCCTCCCAAGTGCTGGGATTGAAGGCATGCGCCACCATGCCTGGCTAGTGAGTGATTCTTGTGTGTGTGTGTGTGTGTGTGTGTGTGTGTGTGTTACTGAGGAGTGAATCCATAGAGCCTCATTGCATGCTCTACCACTGAGCTATGTCACCAGCCCAATGAGTGACTTTTGTTAGTGCCCAGAGTTTAATAGGGTCCTCCTCGGTCCCAGAGCAAGAAGCACATCCTGAAGGAGCTTTGATCCACTTGTCTCCCTGGCGGACGCATTTGTGTTATGGGATTGTAGCTCTTCGTGTGCCTGAAATGATGCAGACAGCAAGCAGAGAAAGGAGGCGTAACTGGTATTGGAATAGCAATTTCATTTTATTTTATCTTTTGTCTTTTTGAGACAGGGTCTCACTCTGCAGTTTAGGCTGGCCTTGAGCTCACTTTGTAGCCCAGGCTGGCCTCGAACTCACAGTGATCCTCCTGCCTCAGCCTCCCGAGTTCTGGGATTACAGGCGTGCCACGGCACACACTAGGCTTGGAATAGCAATTTCAATGACTAAAGGCATTTGAAACTCAAGAGGGTTTGAAACAAGACACTAACTCTTCAGTGGGCCAGAAAAGTACCTCCATGTTACTAACCTTACTTTACAAATGAAAGAAGAACCGAGACACCCACAGGCAGGTAGTGACTCAGCTAATGTCAACATGAGGTCCTGAACCAGGCATTCTAATTCATAGACCCCTCAATAGCTGTGTGTGGTGGTGCACACCTGTAATCCCAGCACTCGGGAAGCTGAGGCAGGAGGATTGTTGCAAGTTCGAGACCAGCCTGAGATACAAAAATGGTCTTGAACTGCATAGTGAGACCCTGTGTCAAAAAGACACACACACAAAAAAAAGCGCTGTGTCGCTGTGGAAGTAGGATAGGCCGAGAGGAGGCACATGATGGGTGTGGGGGAAGGAGCTGGCATGGCCTTAGGAACCCTTTCTGGGAGGAAATAGCAGCAACTGTTTCCCCCTCCTTCCATTTATTCAGCTGCAGTCACTGAGGCCTCACTCTGGCAGATCCAGTGTCCTCTTTCTGAAATAAATATCTAGGGGTGCTGGTTGGTTAGCTACTCCCTCCCCCAAAATCTTTTTGTTTTTTATTTTTGGGAGGCAGGGTCTTGCTGTGTAGTTCAGGCTGGCCTTGAGTTTACTGTGCAACCCAGGCTGACCTTGAGCTCCCAGTGATCCTCCTGCCTCAGCCTCCCAAGTGCTGGAATTACAGGCATGCGCCACCATTCCTGGCTCCAAAATCTTGAATGAAATGGCATGAAATTCATTAATAACATAACTCATATGTTTGTTTATTTTGCTAAATGGACACTGTCCTCTGACTCCTAGTCAAAGCAGCTCCATCTGTAGCGGGTCCCTGTTTAACCGCACAATGGGCCATTGCCAGGTGCCGGGGCTTGTGCCAGACCGCAGCCTGTAACGACGAGGTTGCCTACCGCTATGGGTTCAATGTGGGTTAAAGCCATGATCAACCAATAAGATTATAAGAATAGCAGCTTGGGCAATATTGATCAAAGGGGGAAGTAGGTCATGAAGCAAGTGTACATGGAAAGAACAGAGACCTCTTCAGGAAGGGATGAGTCTGAGGGTCTTGGTCTCACCCATGGAGATGACTGGTATCTATCTAGACTTTATTAGACCAGGTGTTACCATATATCTTAGGCCTCGGGGAATCATGTAGGCCTGGTCATTTGTCTTTATCTTGAGGCCTGGCCTCCCACAGATGTGCCTCCAGCCACAGTTATAATGAGTTTTTATCTTTGCATTGATGCTCTCGAGGGCCCAGTCCTATCTGACTGCCTATAAAATTCCCACCTAACTCAGCTGGGTTTTTTTTTGTCTTTTTAAGCCCAGGCTGGTCTCGAACTCACAATGATCCTCCTGCCTCAGCCTCTCGAGTGCTGGGATTACAGGCGTGAGCCACCACTCCCAGCTAAGGATTTTTTTTTCAGCTTGCTATAATAGGGCTACTACAAATAAAGCTTTTATCAACATTTTTATATACAAATATTTTTGGATATAAATAATTATCCTCTGGGTGAATACCCTAAGTGTATTTATGAAAGAGGAAACAAAGGAAAATTTTAAATTAAAGATTTGTATTTAAGTATGTAAATAGTGAGTCATGAGTTCCTTAGAAGGTAGAAAGTAATCAAGCAAATCTGCACCTATTTGCAGTAATAGTTTGGCTTTATGAAGTCACAACTGTAACATGAACAAATAATGAACTTTTCCCCTTACATATGACATTACAAAAATATGATGTGTAATTAGAATTTTTTTTTTTTTTTTTTTTTTTTGAGACAGGGTCTCGCTATGCAGTTCAGGCTGGCCTTGAGTTCACTTTGTAGCCCAGGCTGGCCTCGAACTCACAGTTATCCTCCTGCCTCAGCCTCCTGAGTGCTGGGATCACAGGCATGCACCACCACCCCAGGTGTGTAATTAGAGTTTTTATACACATTAGGATCTTGGTGAATGGAACATGGCTGAAAAACAACAGGTTTTTACTATGGGTGGTGACTTCAGGGAGGAAATTTTCCAAGCCCAGCGAACAGCTCTTGTAAAGAGCCAAACAAGACAAAAAACGGGCTGGGGATTTAGCTCAGCAGCACAGCGCCTGCCTGGCAAGCGCGAGGTTGTGAGTTCAATTCCTGGTACCAGAAAAAAGACGAAAAACAAAAACAACAACAAAAAGATAAAAAACAATGTTGCTTCAATATCTTACCTGTGGCTGCTATAACAAAATACCATGAATTAGGGCAGGGCATGCTGGTGATGCTTAAACGTTTATTTTTCTTTGTAACTTTGTTTGGTTTCGTTTTGCTTTTGGTACCAGGAATCTTTTTTTTTTTTTTTTTTTTTTGGTACTGGGAATCAAACTTGGGACCTTGCGCTTGCCAGGCAGGCACTTGTACTGCTGAGCTATGTCCCTGGCCCTACATGTATATTTCATAGTTCTGGAGCTTAGGAAGTCCAAGAGCAAGGTCTGGTGAGCGCCATCTTCCTGGTTTGCAGACCGCCACCTCCTCACTGTAGTCACTCACTCTCTGAGGGTAGTAATCCCGTCACGAAGGCTCCACCCTCACTATTTCCCTATTTACCTCCCCAAATCCCACCTCAAAATACCGTCACACTTGGGATTAGGGTTAAAAATATGAATGGAGGCCGGGGATATAGCTAAGAGGCACAGGCACCTGCCTGGCAAATGCGAGGTCCTGAGTTCGATTCCCGGTACCAAAAAAGAAAAAAAAAAAAAAAAGGAAGGCAAAAAATTGGTCAACCCCGGAACCAAAATAAAACCGGGGGTTTTTTTTGTTTGTTTTTTGGACTTTTTGAGACAGGGTTTCCCTATACAGTTCAGGCTGGCCTCAAACTCACTTTGTAGCGCAGGCTGGCCTCGAACTCTCAGTGATCCTCCTGCCTCAGGAGGAGATCACAGGTGCTGGGATCACAGGCGCATGCCACCATTCCCGGCTA